GTGCGCAACCGCATGTGCCTCGAATTGTCTTCCAGAAGTAGAACGAACTGCGGATCGAAGCTCGCCCTCATCCACCCTACTCACCAGACCTGTCACCAGTTGACTACCATTTATTCAAGCATCTGGACAGCTTCTTAAAGGAAGGAGCATTCAAAAACCAAGGCGACGTGGAAGCTGCCTTTCTCGGGTTTTTGGAATCCAGATCTCCGGACTTTTATGAGAATGGAACAGACAGACTCATATCACGTTGGCAAACATGTGTAGAATCGAATGGGGCTTACTATAAAAAAAAGTTCACTTTGAGATGAGTTATAACTTTTTGAAAAATAGCTGACGAAACGCCCAGAACTTTCCTTACAACCTAACACTTTGGCTCTTCTTCTTACGAGCTACTGATCCCGATGTTACTTCACAAGGATCCATGCCTTCCCAAGGGTTGTACATACTTCCATACTGCAGCAGCCGGTTAGGGTTCCCACGAGAGTATGCATGGTGTTTTGGGAAATGGTCTCCTCATCATAAGCCCCAAATATTACACAAGTGCTACGAGAGTTTGACCATTTTATCTCCCAGTATTAATAGATATTCTACCACTTTGTGTGGTCTCCAGGGCTTGGTCATGGTTATCGCACCAATGGACAAACGAATTTTGGAGTATCATGTTCCTAACGGAAAACATTACGTATCCATAGTGGTGCGCCGTAGGAAACTTTCAAAATCCGAAACAAACTCACAGAGGATCAGGACAATACACGGGTTTCGGTGGAGTGCCTCCATTCCGCACATGTGTGAGCACCTAAAGAAGTATGTGGATCAAATCCTAGTAATTTCTAATGAGCAAAGATGTACCTGATTGTTGTCCATGTTAAGATAAGGTTTTTGTCCCAGGCTAACTATTTCATACATCAGAATACCGAACGCCCAAATGTCGCTTTTCGATGAGAACATACCTTCCATTATGCATTCGGGAGCAAGCCACCTGGAATGTGTGGACATTCCTGGAGAGCTCATCCTACTGTCGAAGAGTCCGTGCTATCGCTACTGATTTTTCACCGGTTATTTCATTAGAGTCAAGAGCATCAACAGTCAGTAAGGCTGAGAGAAGTCGTGGGTTTGCAAGAGAGGGGACCCACCTCAATGGAAGAAAGTCCTCTCCACGAACTTTATAATACTCGCTGTTGAAAACGCCTCGAGCGAGACCAAAATCAGCTGAAAGGGACCTCCTTACAAAGTGACACGGTAATGATATGTAGAATTAGTAGGAAAACTTGGTGTTAGTGCAGAACGATGACATCAGGACGCTCACACATGCACTTGTGTACATTTTTGGTTCCACTTCGATTTCATTGGATCAGTAGCAAAGAGGGGTGGAAGGAGAGGGTAATGTCAAAGGGGGCAAGGAATGCGGCTCCACAGCGTCATCCTCGTTTTTTATCCTATACAAAAATAGTCCATGGCAAAACCACTCCGGGCTTCGTTTCTACTCTAGGTAGCTGGGCAAGATAACATGTTCAAAAAGGTAGTTCGCATGGGTCTCAATAGAATCAGTGAGCAAGAAAGACCGAGAAGGTCCAATGGCTGAGTCACTTTTCCTGAGACGCCTCACAGAGAATATCCAAAGGTTGCTCTTGCTCAAAGGCTCCTATGGGTGGATGCAACCCTAATCCTCTCTCCAATCCCTTACTGCCTCATTCGAGGAACTTTGTCACAACTACAATAGAACTCGGTCGCCATATGGTGAATTTACTGCCCATCTATTGTAAACATCCTATCCACCAAGCAGTCAACAGAACCTTAGGTTTCCTGGTACATGTGGTGCTTATTTGAATAGTTAAAGGCAACATCGGGATTCCAGTGTAATGATTACTATGCTACAACTATAGTAGTGTGTTTAAGAACAGTGACTAACATTAGTTAATCTAATGGTAAGCAAAACTGCTTTGACAGATACAGCAAGCCTATGAAGCTTGTCACCATGTTGTTGCTCACATGAGCTTTCACCTCCTCCTCCAATCAAATTGATGTCGTTCTGATCGGGTGGGAAACGCAGCGCACCTATCTTCGTGACTCGATTCGAACGAGATGTTCGTGAACTGATTAGACAGTTTCTGGCTGCCAAATCTCGATGAACATGCCGAATCGATTCCAGATATGCACCACCTCGACCGATATCGATCAGCATCGAGAGCACATCTCGTAAAGAAAGTTGAGATGGATAGGAGTCCGTTGGTGAGCTGGAACAGGCCGAAGTTTGGTGTTACCATTTGAATGAGATGATGTGGAAACTGGAGCATACCTCGCCTTCAAGAAGTTCAGCAGATCACCTCCTTCCATGAGTTCAAGAATGAGGTATTCTTTAGGGCCTTCTAGGCAAACGCCCAAAAGCTTCACGATGTTGGGGTGATCGAAATTGCTAAAATCAATGGCATCCGGACTGATGATGAGCTTACGATCTTACGACTTTCATTCTCATATTTTATAGTCAATACTCTTTAAGGCACATTCTGTGATGAGGGAGAGAGCAAAGTAGTAGTAAAGAAGCTCAACATATCCCCCACAGCGCCAGCAAGTCTAGGTTCTCCTCATAGGATTGCTACCTAATGAGGAGGGCTGATCCCGAACTATTTTTCCTATTGAGATTATCTCTAAAGGCATGAAGGGACCTTTAAGCAGGTTAGCATAGGAACGTACTTCATGAGTATGGCCTCCTTCATAAATCTGATCTTCTCGGATTCCTCGTAGCCCTGACGTAAGGTCTGAAATTGTTCAATCAGTATCGTCACAGACAACTCCTAGACTCTTTCGACAAACCTTTATGGCAACCCTCGTTTCACGGTCTCTCATGGGTAAACGGGTTGCAACGCCTTCCCATACCTCTCCGAAACTACCGGTACCCAACTTCTTTTCCAAGCGAACATTGTCCGAGCGGACATGTGGGAGATCTGCAAGGAGTTTCGCGGCATTTATTAGATATAAATATGCATAAACAATCGGGAACCAATAAAAAACAATCAATAAAAACTAAATGCAAGTGTGGGAAACCAATGTAACGTGATCGCTCAAAAGTCTTCGCCTAATTTTTGGTCACATTTATCGAGTGGGTTTCTTTCTAAGTTATGTTACTTATGTTCAAATTGGCTAAAAACACACTTTTGATTTCGTTAAGCATTTCCGGTGGCATTGGTTGGCAGGGAGATTGATCGAGGCCAGCTATTTTCTCCAGTGTGATACAGTTCTTGTCCAAATTCCGTTCCTTCTTCAATCGGGAGGCTCTGGCGCGAGCTCGAACTAAAAGATTGCTTCATATGAGTCGATCTGGTACCCTCTGTTTACAGAGAACTTACTCATCAAAAATATCAGTGTGAGCAGCACTAAAATCGCCACCAGCGAAACGGTGAGCACAACATAGAGCCATGACTGAGAAGTTTCCTCAGCCGGCGGTGGCACTGAAATACGATGATCAGATGCAAAGCTCGAATCGTTTCAATTAGAGTTCCAAACTCACCTACGGTATCGGTTGAGTACCCATAAGCTCCAAACCCTTCAAGATTGGCTGCTCGAACTCTGAATTCCCATGTTTGGCGTCGATCACTTTTGGCCGGTCTCCACCACAACTTCCAACCGTCTAGCCCACGCTCCGCAATTTCCCATTCTGCGGAACGATTATGTCGCATCTGAAGCTCTATGAAAGTAGGATGTCTCATCAGGTTAATTCTGGTTGATGGGACTAAGCGGATCATGAGGGGATTTTGAAAAAAAGCTCAGAAAAAAAGCATCTTTCGAAGAAGAGAGCTTGCAGAATTCTCTGCCTGATTCTGGACCCTCAGAAGCCATGCCATTTCTCCTTAAAAACACTACTCGATTCCCACTTTTGGTTGAGACACTGTTCAGGTTCCTTCTGCCACTTTATCTGCCTTATGCTGTCAACCCATAAGCTCCAAGTATGGCCTCTGGTAGGATTTCTTTTATTTTGTGGTGGCACTATCGTCGTCGCCGACGATCCCCTACCTCTTCGTCTCGCCGTCTGGGTGAGACGACTCACTAACTGAACCAACGCCCCTAAATGGTGCGGGGCCAAGCGGACCCGAGATAAGTGCACTACTTCCTATAACAGCGTCAAGGGCAAGACGTTTCATTCTCAACCCTCACCTCGACAGCATAGCTTGTAATGGGCGAACCACCATCGCTAGAGGGTTCTTTCCATAAGACAATCCATCCCTCTTCATCCATTCGAGCTTCAACCTGCTGGGGTGCAGTCGGTACACCAGCTGAAAGAAACATATTACAGCGGAAAAGCGAACCTTAGTGATCGAGATGAAGCGAACAAGAAGTCATTGCAAGTATATTAAACAAATAAGCAAGTGTATGGCGTGCACTACTGGGGACGGAAAGAGATGTTTGAATGAGAATACCTTTTGTCTTAGCTTGTTGTACACCTTGATAGTAATACTCCTTGAATCCAACCGCTCGATTCTCAATCGTGATTGATCCCGAGTAAGCAGCAACAAATCGGTAGTCATACGAAGTGGCAGAAAGCAGGCCATTTATAAGAACTAAATGACAGTTCCATATCTTGAAGGTACTGGATATCCGTTCCTTACTGCTGCCTCATTAAAAAAACAAACAGATAAACAAATAGCTGAAATCGGTGTTTACCGAGGATAGTCGATACAGAAGGATCAAACGATGCATTTGACGGTGACTTCCATCCACTCGTGCTACCTGTCTGGAAGGGGAGAACAGTTCGCTATGGCAATTTACTAGAGAGACCTCTTCTAAGTCTTCATTTTTCGGAAACTCTCGAAACTATCCTCCTTTGATCGAGTCATACCTCTTTGTACTGCACCGAAATAACCGACGGCGGTTGCTCAGCTTGTAGGCTATTCCATCGAAGCAACAATGACGAACCGGTGACATTGTCTGGTCGAAGGGTTCCAGGGATATCCTTTGTACGAGCAGAGGCCTGAAAATTCATTGACTTTAGTCATTTAAATATTTTTTATCTCTATTTTCCAAATGAGGTACTCAAGTGAACTTAGTCAAGCTGTCTATGAACATATACATATCCGCAAATACGCCTGGATCCGCCACGTAGTCATTTTCTGGCGAAAATTGCAACCGAGCTCAGAAGAATAGCAGATTTCGCAGGCAAGGACATGAGCACGTGAGGCCCACATCCATCGGCCCTACGTCTTCGAGGATTAGACGACCCACTCTCTCGAGATGCCTTTAATTACCTTATCGGCCCATTCAGTGGGCCTAGAGCTTCACAGTTTTACTGGACACCACGACTTTTCAGTTTTTCCTACCTCATAACGGAACTAGCGTTTCATTCCTATGCGAGTTTATGACTAACATCAAACAGACCTCTTGCGAGATTGCCTCGGCGTCTTCTAAAAACTGCGAGTTGAGGTGTGATTTGTGAATGGATGTGGCCTGAATGGGAAGATTTGGCCCATAGTAGGGAGGCAGATGGAAAAAAGTAAGAAATAGAAATGAAGTGGAATTTAAGATACTTCGTCTTACCCAGAATCTATACTCGGTCGCTGGTCTTAGATTGGCAACTTTTGCCCGACACGGACTTACAAGGCAGGATGCTGAATCGGAAGTCGTGGGCGAAAACATACCATCGGAATACTCTTGTACAGCAATACTAGATGGTGACGCCAAACCGGATGCCTGCTGGGAGATCTGAATGATGAAATAATCGGAGAACTTCCCCTACTCTTATTTTTGTTCCCCTTTCCCCTTCTCGGAACTAAAGAAGAAACGCTGGAGGGAGGTGCTGATCCCACGCTCATAAACCAGGAGCCGAGCATCAGAAGGTCATCTTCCACACCGACCAAGTTCCAAAAGTTCCAAGAGATCGATGGACGCTTAGTACTTCCCCTACCATTCTCCTCCACAACCCGACATGGACCTTGAGAGGTGCAGCAGTTGGGCATAGACGAGTCCGCCCGATCCGCTGATTGGGCAACACCCAGACCACTCATTCCCTGCAACTCTTTAGCTCTTTTGAGTACGTTCATGACTACCTTGTACTTAATCTCTGCAATCGGAGCGTTCAGTGTTTCCGGAAGGTTCCAATACAGATAGATCGTATCAGGAGTGACGGCAATGGCTTGCAAGGACCGTGGCGCTGATGGGTAACCAAACCTAAATATGGAAAACTGCTTGAAATGTTTGGTCCTATGAAAGGAGACTACCATACCCTGTTCGGAACGACTTTGCATCGGAAATCCCGCTAGCATCCGAGTATCGGTTCAGCCATGCCACCGTGACCTCGTAATCCGTTTCTTTGTCAAGAATCCCATTCTCCACATGGATTTTCTCCGTATAACTCCGAATATGTTTAACCTTGTCGGTATTCTTCCGTGTGAAGTAAACCTAAAAGTTTTAGATAGGAGAACGAAAAGGAGGATTAGGCGAGTTAAGGTGGCAAGAACTGACCTCATAGTGAGTTTGTGGAAGGGATACGCCATGGCAGATGTTTGGTGGGGGAGGCTTCGAGACTTCAAGGAATGCTCCCGTTTTTCCTTCATTAACCACTGTGAACTGTATACCAGCCGAAGATGGTAATGTGAAGCAGGATCGATCTATAACTTATGAGATTTCTCACCGCAGGTTGAACCTGTTGACAGCCACAATTCAGGCCAGATCGTTTAAGTAAAGTAATAAGTAGAAGTGAAATTCAAAAGGTAGGGAGCAGAAACAGAAATATACAGTAGGAGAAGATGAGTAGGAAACGCTCTCAAAAACAGCCTGAGTAGAAATCCTCACCTGGATACGGTTGACTGCTCTGACTAACGGCAAGAATTTGACGAAGTGGGGGATAGGTGATGGGAATTGGTACCACCGTCTCTCGACCATAAATGAGCATTTCTGACGAAGTGACGAACACAAACAGCTTATCGGCAATAGCAAAAGCTGACATCGCTTTCAGCCCTTTCTCTGGAAATAGGATCAGTGAATAAGTAAATCTCTCGAAGGACCCAAGGACCCCGTCTCCTCATTTACTGGATTCGAACGGCGTTTGAAATATAAACACGACTTCAAAAACCTGGCCATGAAAGGGACATCTTTTCAATCAATCCCTAATCGGGTGAAAGATCTTCAAAGGATATCGATCCAACTACAATGGCATTGCTAGGTGACCACGGCCTTCCTTCGCTTGTTTTATATTTTGTTAGATTTATTCTCCACCATGGGATGCATGGCAAAGAAAGCTAGTAAACCTTGGAATGTCTTGCTTACCTCCGAATTTGTTCCAGTCGATACGTACTTCATTGCATTTATTATTTTCCTCGACATCGATCACAATCAAACCATTCCAAGTCAGAGCATAGATTTTCGGGGAAGAAGCTCGATTCCAAGCAAATTCTGTGATACTCAGTAATACTTCAAGATATTTGAAAAGTACTCCAGTGAAAAAATTATAATTAGTTTGTTTTGGAGCGATAAAGTGTCCCAAGTGTTTGTGATTCGACTACTACGGCATTCAGAGGCATTGATCTTGCTGTGGAACAACTGATCCAGCTTGTTTACCTCAGGACACATATGCATGACAAAGGGTTACAAACCATCCCATGACCCCATATAGCGGAGGTTGCTCTGGGTGGCTACAAAGAATACGTGGACGACTCTCCCTTTTTTTTCTTATACTAGCTAGTACTGCATGTTGTTGCTCACCTGTGCTTAATACACTCATCCTCCTATTTCCTATCAAGTCCTGTACACAGTTGAGCAGCATAATTAAATGTAGGTTTGTCAGTGTCGTTATTTTACCCATAGCTTACTACAGCATACAACCAGGTTTTATTGTTCACGCCGTTTCCTACTCGAATCATTTTTCTAGGTTGAATCAGCAAAAACACTTGATAATGTCTTAGCTTACAAAAGGACCAACATTCACTTTAGTTTTTCTTTTTCAATTTCTCAATTTTGAGTAGTTTTTTCCACCTGTCATCATCCACGTGACCGTTTGGCTTGTCAGACAAGGAACAGCCAATGCCAGGTTCTTCTCATGGCTACGCGCCAGATTTAGCAGAAACAGTGAGCCGTTACGAGTCAGCAAGTACGCGGTGCTGGAATTTTCATATTCGGCATCATTCTTACAGAACGTTGGGCTTTAAAAAAGTTAATCTAGCGATCAGTGATGATCAAGATAACTTCGAGCGCCGTACAATCCCGGTTCGTAATCAACTTGAATCTGGCGGCGGATGATTCCTTTCAGTTTTCGGATGTTTTCATCTACAGCCGTGCTGACGAAATCGGGGAGTGACGAAACTAACCATGAGTACACAGTTCCAATCAAAACAGTGTCAAAAGGGTCAACACTTCCTTTTCCACCCTTTGAATGTCCACCCACTTTCGTAGGGGGTTACCCAACTCATACATAAGCAGTAGGAAGCATATTACTCACTTTTTGAATGGATCGAACGTCAGCTGTTTGGCGTCGGTGGCTCCTGTAGACAGTTCGATGAGTTTTCTTGGGGTGAGAAGTGATGTGGTGAGAAATGCGTCAAGGGGAAGCTGATAGAGCGCCTGACCGGACACAAGCAACAACCGATGGCCTACCCAGTCAGAAGTCATTGTGTCCACTCGGGAAACATCTCCACCGATTGATACCTAAAACACAAATTCTCCAATAGGTAAATCAGTCAGCATTGCCTGACCTGTTTTAGTGTGCGCCACACACTCGACTGCCACCAGAAATCGTGTTTCAATTTGAATGAGTTCTAGCTTTGCTCGAATTATCAGCTTTCATGATCATGGTCAAACAATCAAGGATGGTCTTCTCACTGTCCCGAGCCATCCCGTTTTCATGAAGTGGACACAGCTCGTGAATAAAGTGCTCCTTCAAACTCGACCCAGCACAAGTTTCCCTTCAGGGCTCATAACGGAGAAATTGCCGTAACTACCTTATGAACGATGTTGTCGATGTCGTTGGTGTCGATCTGGACCAGTACCGGCTGGAGAGAGTCGTGTTCTTTCCGAACCGCAAACAAATCGTTGCCAATGAATGCAATCGCTTGATATTCCATCTGAAAACGACGCGGTAAAGCAGAGTTGAATATATCAAAAGATCATTCACAAACAGGTAAACAGGAAAACTAAGTAGAATAACTGATAATTATTGATAACTGCCCTGGATTGGGACGAGTTTTCACTGTGATAAATACTTATTACCCGGTTGACGTGCGAAATTTGGCGCTTTTCCCTCTTTGACACTGGCTCGTCCTGGGTGACATTGGTTATGGCGATCAAAGCGTTGGTGGAATCAATGGCGAACAACCTCACCAAAGGTTTCAGTTCTAAAAAAGGGGAGCTTTTGGTAAGAGAGCTCTCTGAGGTCAGGTCCTCCATGCACTTACCACTGCTGTCAATTGAAATCTTTGGCGTGAACTCGCCAACATTGTTCGGCTCGTTGGCGGCCGCTACAGAACATTCCACCTTCAAAATGATCAGAATGAAATCAAATTCAAGCAGTCCAGTTGAAAGAAACTGCTGTGAGCGCAAATAATCTTCACCTTGCCACTTTTCACTTCAAATGAGATGTGTGTCACAGTACTTCCCACAGGACCACCCTGAGTGGTACCATCGTCCTGCAATAGGGAACCACTTCGGTGCTGAATCTATCGGATAGGATGAGTTCGAGTTTACCTTCGTACAGTTAATTATGTACTGAAAAGGTGTCGCATTCCATTGTAGTGGGGGTGACCAGAAAAGCGAAATAATCGCTCGAGCACCATCGACAGTTTTCTGAAAAGACAAGAGATCCTGGAAAAGCACTCAATCAAAAATTGAGTTGTAGCTGGGAATAGCCAAGCCATAACCAAAAAAATCTCCACACAAAAGATCGATAGTGAGAGTTAACAGCACTCAAGAAAATCGGAAACCGAAGCGGAGGGACAGAGGTTTGACCACGCATTCCGGTGACGTCGATCTGCTGCCCAGTGCAGTGGAGCCCCTAGCTACCTACTAAGCTATGGTTGATCGAAACTGTGGTGCACCCGGCCATAAGTTGGCTAGCGCTAATCTTTTTGCCGCTCATTTCTGACGTTCTAGTTCCACTGAATTCTGTACCTGCTAAGACCTAATAGATAGCCTACAGACGATAGCCAGAGATCTGAAAGAAGCCCACCTGTTGGGTGGCATAGAGTCGCACGTTTGTTGGAGCTGTTGGAGGTTTCAACGGTGCTTGAAGTCCAATCTTGCTTGTATTGAACGACGTCCATGTTGTGATTCCTGAAGATATCGGAATCGTTGGGGAAGGAGCCATGCCATTTGTAAATATGAAAGAATCAGAAAAAGAATGGCAAATCCTGATCTCATATCCCCTGACAAAATTACCGAGTGAAGCCAGGATGGTAACTGCGACTTTTGGATGTTTCTATCACTCCCCCTTGTTTGATGGTGTGGCCGCATAGTATCATTGATCTAGTTATTCGAGTAAAAGCAACGGGCGCATCATAAAAAAGTAATGATTTCCTACTATTCCGCCCCTCTCCCCCACCCCCACTGAAGGATCTCCATCTCTGAAATGATCAACTACTAGGGTAGCAGAGGTGGAGACCGGAGGGACACGGAAGGGGAAGGGGATAACTATCGACAGGAGACTGCGAACAGATTCATTTTCCACCTTCAAGCTTGTCGTCGAGAAATAAGCGTCTGGGTATAGGCAGTACCCTTTCCGAAAACTAACACTTCATATCTATTCAGCATTCCAGAGGAATCAAACTTGAAGCGTAGGAGAAAGCGAACCGGCAATGCTGACATCGAATCGCTGAGCTGATGACCATGACTGGAGCAATTCTGACGGCAACGTCATCTTCGTGAGTGTTGTGATTGCAGTGTGGGCATCTCCAACAAAGAGTTTGTCTTTATACAGTGATATCTGAAAACTCGTCAAGTCAACGACTGAGAATTANGGGTGGGTGAGGGACATAACGATGTTCCTATAAAGCCAGAGTATTGGTCCATTAAGAAATGTCAAAACGAAAAGTAATCTATGTTCTGTTGAATGGTCCCAACGGACGGAGACATTTGGCTTTAATCGGATTCATCCTGCTAGGGAGCGAGGTCGGCTTCGAAAAAATAGTCCCAGGCGTCTTTATAACCTCCTTTGGCCTCCCTTGCTTCTTCATCGAATTCATAATCGACGGTGAGAATATGAGTGAGAATAAATCAAGAGGACAAACAGAAGGAGTTAAAGAAATCACCTTATAAAGAACGTTCCCGGGCTCTTGTCGAGGTTCCACTACCCACGACAGTTCGTCCTTCTTTGCTTCGCCCATAACAACACTATCAGCTGCAAAACTTTTCGAATTGATTGAGGTAAAGGAGTGGTTTTAAGAAAATGGCGGAAGAATATCATACGGTCAAAGAGCTTATTGAGGCATGAATTCGTTTTGAAGTAGATTCACTATCTGCCCAACTCTGTACCTTGACCCTCGAAGTACTTACCTTGAATTTCCACTCGATTTGATATGTCGGTTGGATTTACTGGAACTACGGTATTGACATCACCGAGGGCGTAGTTGACGTTCAACGAGCCAAGCTTCTTGTCACTCTGGCCGACTCGACCACGTTGGGTTACAAAGATTACCTTATTATTTGTCACCAACAGTTGGCGCATCCTGCAAAAGGTTGCTATATAATACTGTATTTTGGTTAAATATGATAGCAATTTAGTAATAATACAGAGATATTGTGATGAGAGGGGAAGGTGGCAAGTGGCGTACTGTCACACAAGTCTGGTCAGGGGATCGAATCTTGAGCGGACATCCCCTCGAGTCAATCATATGCCTTCCATGCCATTGGAGTCTTGATTGGTACCAGACTGATTTGGGAGGATTAATTCACTGACTTAAACATCGGCTGGCCACCACAAATCGTTGTATAGGCCGCATAAGTATTCAGAACAACCCCACAATTGTGAACGGAAGCCGAGTGAGGGGCATTCCACAAAGCGGATTGATTAACGCCAAAGACTCTAGGCCGTATTTGACAAAAAAGCTTTTCGGCTTTGAGATTGCCCGGGTACTCTGAACAAAGCAGGAGAGAAAGACCCAATCATACAAGCCTGCCCCTTTTTCCTTGGAGGCTTTAAGTCTTCCGTACTAATCACCGATTCATTTTGGCTCAGTTTAGATCTATCTGAGATAGAGCTATGTACGGATCCTACTGCCTTTTGACCAGTAGCTCTACTAGTAGTCAGTAGCTAGCTAGAGAGTTCGAGAGCTTGAACTTACTGTGGCAAGTCAGTTGAGGTAGCTAGTGGGCGTGGTGTTCGATCTTCCTGATTCAGCTCATACAGGACGGTGGTTCCGTTGAGAAACTGAATCATCGTTTAGAACATAGAAATAAATAAAAATTACCCACAAATAAAAATCAGATCACCTGAGCAAGGTAATGAATTTCGCCGCTCGTATCATCCGACGATAGCCCAATGATCTCTGGACATTCTTCAAAAGGTGAAGAGCACGAGAAAATCCTGTAAAACTGGGAGCTCCTTGGCAGGCCGTATCAGTGGTTACCAGAAAAGGGTCTGGGAACTTACACATGTTCCACAGTTCCAGTAAGACGATAACTGACAATCTGATAGGAGGTAGCCAACACCAGAACTGCCCTGCTTGCCAATAATGTAAGGAACTTCACGGACAGAAAACTAGTGAACGGGAACACCTCGCCGGGTTCAGAAACTCGATGATAGACGACGTCGCACTGGAATTTATTTGTTTACTTATTTGTTTATTTTCCTATCTTATTATTCTATCTCTGAGCCATAGAAATGAATAGAGTTCTGAGAAATGAAAGTCGAGGGAAATTTTTTTACAGTCCTCAAGAGTGTATAGAACTATTCAATGGAAGAATAAAATCGATAGAAACGACACACTGTACAACCTCGTTTGCATCCAAAGTATAGAGCGTTTTAGTGGTGTTGTCGAACGCCATAATACCATCACAGCACGGTTGAAAAACTCCAGCTGCAATCAGTAAAGCCAAAGTTTTTGGAACTTTTTCTGTTCAAACCTTCCCTAATTCCCTTTTCCTCCCATTCTTTGAGAAGTAGAAGGCAAAGGGGTGGGAGGGGAAGGGGACGAGGGAAGATGTGACAGCAAGCCTCAAAATGTAACTAACTGATGGCGTCCGCTTGCATTTCGTCGCCCAAAAGATCGAACGCAGTGGTGGCGTCGTTTGACCGCCTAAGGAAGGCTACCGGTGGATCTGAAAAAGTGGTTTTCAAAGTCCACATATTTCATTGGAGAATCAAGCTGAAAAATGTCGTTTGGTAGCGGTTGGACTAACATTTCAGTGCAGCGAACGCCGTATTGATGACGTTCACGAACGGTGAGCAGACAGAATTCCAGCAGACACGGACTGAAGCGGTGTACTCGGAACCGGGACTGATGGGTACCATCTGAAAAATGTTCGACAATAGAATTTACGAATCTGGACCTAAAAATTTTATCCTTTGACCAAAGGTATGCCTGAAGTCTAGTGGTTTTCTCTGCTGCAATACATCGCGAGGGTGCCGACCCACATCCAAAAAAATGTAACCAGTATTCGTCGTCGTAGGTCTAGGTTCGGCCCCCGTAAATGCTATGGAAACTTCAAAATCTCCCAAAACTTTTGCGAATGTTTGCCAGATTGTTCGAGGATAAAGTCCCGGGGGTAAACCAACCCTACATTACTGCATTTCTAGTATTACTATTACTTTATTGCTGTCTCACAGTGTAGAATTTCTGTGGAAAGCTAATAGTTTTCGGAGTTGATGAATCCTGCCTTTGCGACCCTTTGGTTTAAAGCTTTTGTTCTCTCAGTCGAGACTACATCGGTTAATCGTTCACGAAGGGTTGGAAAACCTGAAAAACTTGAGTGGAAATCGATCTGGACAGAGCACGCGCTTGTTATGGGTCAGTTCGGAGTTGTACGCCACCTTATTCGAAAAGAATGAAGGAAATTGCAGAAGAAAATCTTCCTCACCACCGACGTCTCGTTGCTCATTTTGACTGCCACCGGTGAATCAGGATTGCCAGATGGAACTAGGCGAACCTCATACGAAATGTTTCTCCATGCGCTACCGGAAGCTAGAATGGACTAATTAAAAGAGAGACTACACTACTTCGGATGTCATTCCGAATACTGAATAACTGTACTGGTACACTGTACCTGCCGATATTTAACACAAGAGCTATTTAAAAATGTGAAAATGCTAAAGAAAAGACGAAAAATTCCGTAAAATTACTGGCCATGGGGTGAGAAATATGTGGATGGAAAAAAGAGTGTTGCCATGCTATCGTTTCGAAAAGTCTTAACGGATCACCTTGAAAAGGAAGATTTACTGGAGGGATCCAGCTAATTTTCGCTCTCAAGTCGCTCATAACCAGTCCGATCTTTTCTGGTGGGGTCAGAGTTGGTGGAAGAACGGCATCGCTCAGTATAGCGAAGTCGACTATCTTTCCAGAGTAGAGATACCTGAATGGTTAAAGAATTTTTCGTGAATATAATAAAAAAGTAATAAGGAACCATGAAGTTGTAGTAGTGTTCGACTCTTCAAAGAAGACCTGCTGTGAGCGGATAGAAGAAAAACACCGTTCATTACCGTTCATTTACTACCTCTGCTGGTAGATACTAGCCATTGGGTTATGCCTCAGAAGGTTTAGAATGAAAGAGATCTACGGAGCATTCGTCAACTATCGTACCGATATTCTCCGCCCATAATCCCGTTACTGATTGTGCCTACGAAGATAGCCAAAGTCCGCTTACCTACTGAAATGAGCATCGCCGGCGTCCTTCTGTCCGTCTTCAGAGTAGAAACACATTTCATCGAGGGGTGTGTCACCACATTTTTCTCGCCACCAGAACATTCGGTTTTTCTCAATCAGAAGCCTTTTCACTGCATGATATTCGCCGCTGCGTTTTGCTGCCAACTTTCCGGAAATCAGATTTTTCGCCAGAATTGTTCCTGAAATTCAAACGATATCAATGATATGTCTGCCCTTATGGAACCCTGGATCGACCGGAGTAGTTTCCAATTTTCATAAGGGCAGCCGAATAGACATAATAGATCAAAAGAAAAAATATTGGAGAACATTGAAAGAAATTTAGCTTTTTATCGATTACTTCATATGAAGAAAGGATCAAATTGACAAACCATTCTGTAAAGCTGCCAGAAGTTGAAATTTCTCCCTGTCTATCTCAATAGCCGTTGATGGAGGTATATCTGCAAAAGTACTGGAAATGATTTTAAACGTATGAACGATAATGCTCTGACGAGATGGGAACTCAAAATTGTTCCTTTCTTGGGAAGTTACTCAGGATAGGACGCGGCTATGAAGGGTGTGACACAAGTAGGCAATTAAACAGGTTAAATTGTTTTCTGGTCTGTTCTTTTCTGAACTGTCGAGCTGTTCTTTCTTCAGTTCCTCCTTGCTATCAAATCACAGGAATGTATATTATTACCAAAAAGTATGGAGTGCCAAAAGACTAATTTTAATAGTTGATAACTTGTTGCTTGCTTCAATTATCGTGATTGGACTGAAGCGCTCGTCTTAGTCGAAGCCTGAAGCTGCGGAACATGCATTTACTGTTATTAGTAGACCCCGAGTATTACAGATCCAAGGGCCGTCCAATTACTCAGTTGCATTTCCAGAAGGTAAGCCTCAAGGAGCTCGCACAAACGCGTGATCCATCCTTTTTTCGCCTTGAACTCGTCCACCATCATTTTTCACTAGTTTTTTCTCTCTTTTATTTCTTTTGTAAGCAAATTTTCGCGTTTTCTTCTTTCCCGTTTTACTAGTGTGGGCTTTCGTTATCCGTCAAAAACCGGAAACCCCAAAATTATCGTGAACTGTGCCTTTAAAAGACACATTAGTCCAGATGAGTGTATAACTGGGTGGAACTCTCAGTCATGTTTTCCAAATTGGTGGGTGAATTCGGGCATAACATAAGGTTGTTAGCCCCGTAATTGTTCCTTTTTCTCTTGAACCTCGTTACTTAGTTATTACAATAGCGAAAGCGAAGTTTCGGGACCAATTTTTCAAAGTCGATGTTCCGAATTTATAAATGATTTTTAGCTTCCATTTTATCAACCTGTAAGCCGATATCAGAACATTGCCTAACCGGAGTATGTATCAATAAAGTCCATTGGAGGGTGAATAGTTTAATAAGTAAGAGAAATTGTAGATAAATAAACAAAAGATTACCTGTGAAAGGAGTGACTGTGGACAGCTGATAGTTTTCTACTTTTTCGAATGGTAACAGTTCCGACCGATAGACTTGATGATCAGCGCCAAGGAAGTACAAAAAGCTGGAATGTTGCCAGTACTGCCGTTTTTCTTGTATTGCGTAGTGCGAGGGTATAATAGCAGGTAGATAATTATGATAGTATTTGTTACGCTGATAGCCTTACCCATTCATACTGTCAACAGCCACTGTTCGAATTGGATTGAGAGAATCAGAATTGGGCAGAACATAACATGAAGGATTTTCTAGTGTACAACGAGCAATTCCTTTGTCATTTAGAACCACATAAATGGCATTTTGCATCGAATCTGAAAAAAATAGTGAAGAATAAAATGTAAGAAAAGCTCCAGTATAGAAAAGTTACCGTATTCGATTTGCGTTGCGGAATGTTCCACCTCATCTGATTGCCGGATCACGGTAGGTGTGGTGTAAATAACAGTGTCATTATATTCCAGTGAAAGTAACCATACCGATCCACGATTGCTTCCAACCACAAGCGAAGTTGATGAGATACCTTCGACGCCTTAAATGGAAGCAAATGAAGACGTGGGTCCGCAAGGGTCAGACGGTTTGACAGCTGGGGTAGTATGAAGTATGATGAAACTGGTTCGTAAACACAAACAATTCAAGTACCTACTAGTAATAGAATCGCCTTCAGGTATTTCAAATGGAATCGCCAGTGGTTCTTCGGATACAATGTAGTCGTCAGTGTTTCGCATTTGCAGAAGATGGGTGCCGGTCGAAAGAACTAAGCGAGTTGGTGCCGGGGCCATTTCCTCTGGTGGCGCTTGAATGAGTTCTTGGAAGGCAAAATCGAGTGGAAAATCAAAACCGCACTGTATTGGAAAGCGGGAAGAAAAGTTGCTTTTACCAGCCGGTTGGATGATGTCTAGTTTTACATTGGCCGATTGCTGTTGCTCTTCGGTAGTGATATCGGTCACCGTTGCAAGACAACAGTTCTCCTTAGGTAGTGATTCCAAAAGATAGCATCTGAGAGATAGCAGAATCGGGTAACGTATTTCAAACGAAATATGAATATTCAAGGCAGATGAGGGCGATTGTCAAAAGATGACGTTCTGCCTATTGATCTAAGGACCAGACACTGTCATGTCGGCTATGCTGTCCATAACTCCGCGGATCAATTTTTTGGAACCAGCTCTGGGAGGGTAGGAATACCGGCATAAATGTCGGCTAACCTCACAATGCATGTAGATGTCAGATGCTTATTTGTTTACCTAATTATTTATTTATTTTCAGATATATCAGCCAAAAGGGTGCAAGCATATTTTTTACCGAAAAGTGTTTAGCGAATATTAGAAAAACTAGAAGAAGAACGGAAAGTCTTACTTTTTCTCTGTGGTATCTGTGAAGAGAGAGTTACCATCAAGGGTAGCCAGAGCGATTTTGAATTGTGTCTAGAAAGAAATCAGTAACAACCCAGATGAGTTTGAAGTTAGTTAGTTAAAATTTCAAAGAAAAAATCGAGAGCACTTTTCAGTAATGAACTAAAAGATACTGTGCCATGTATAATCATTTCTATTAATAAACTAAGGTTTAGTAAAGTTTCAATCAAAATGGTAGTACCAGGTATATGGATCTCTACGGCAGGGAGGATTAGATGAGAAAACCGTGCGCTGTCCACTCAGCCCTGATCTCACTAAGGCGAGTGTGACAGCCTACCCAGATTGGTAGCATTACGAATGTTTTACTAAATGCCCTCGAAAAGTTCTGTGACTTCCCACTGCCCACTTCAGAATCCTGGAAAGGTCTTATAATGACGGCCACTCTCGATTCTGTGACTGAAACATGACTGAAATCGAATGAAGAACTTGAGCTCACCATAGATGCTTCAGCTTTCCAACATATCGCTACTTTATCTACAGCGACCTGAAGTTGTGACGAGATCTCAAGTCGGCTGGGTACAACTCGTAAAGGCATTTGATACGTGATCGCACGAGACACACCAACACGATTACGGTAGCTGAGTGCGAGGCGGACATAAAAGAGGTTACGGTAAGGCACGAGCAATCAAATTACATTCAGTAAACACTAAATGAACCTGTAGATGAGTGGTAGGTTCAAATGGAATATTTATTTCCGTCGAAAGGGTCGAGTTCCGGAATGCCTAAAATTCGTTGTGAATAATTGGAACGGCTATTTGAAGAATAGAAGGTAGACATACGGTAGGAGGTAATGCAGTCCATCTCCACCCTGTTTTTCCATCAGACGGCCTGCTTTGAGCATACCAGCCCACATCGGCAGCGGCCACTTCTTGAACCTAAATGGACAAAATCATGTATTGTGAAGGCATTGAAGTGGATTAGCATTAAAACTCAAAGCGTTCTATCATAATATTAACACTGTAAAACCACTTATGGTAGTGTCAAAGTAGAACAGAGGTAAATCGTGCCTCAATGTCGTTGTAGGATTTTCCAAGGGTGATATCCCGTCCGAATTTCTACCGGATATTACCGCGGAATGAGTCTTACCTAGGGTTAACTAGCTGGTATCAGACCTATCTCATTTACGATACCACACCATCGAGGGAAGAAAACAAAATTAGAGCCCTTCACCCGCAATTCATATACATTCAGTAGCTTTCCGTAAAATTTTCAAGAAAAAGTTGAATCGATATCTAACCCAGTAAACAAGTTTCCGCGAAGAGATGTGGGCACCTGGGAAGGACTACTTTGACGAGAGGCTTCATCTTGATGAAGGTTTCATCAAAAAGTTTACGGAAGTAAGTTAAAGTAAGCTTGGTTAAGTGAAGTATCAAAGCAAATTCAAAGAAAAAGAAGAATGAAAATCTGAAAAGAGAAGAGGTGAAAAACAAACCTGTGCCAGGAGAGCTTCAGGAAATTGCCATCGTAACCGTAAGCTCTCATCGAGAGCATCAATTGTGACCGTAATTTGATAGAGAAGTTCTGAAAAGGGAACTATCGCCGGTCATTAGTGGAAAATTAGTTGCAAAAATTCCATTGAAGGCAAATTTCGAGAGGAACATTCAAAATCATGTTATGACCTTATCGGGGATTGGTTGAGGTTCCAGTTCATTCGAGGCTGGGTAATTATAATATTACCAGGGAATATTCACTACCCCTTCTATGGAACTATTCCTTCATAGCTATTGAAAGAGAAGGAAAATCGATGAAGATCTAAAATTACGATTAAAAGTACAAAATGGACAAAACAGGAACCGGAGCGATGCCAACAACTACGGCACCTGGAGCCTCTGGTTCTGAACCATATCACCTATGTGAAGGGCATCTCTCATCTTTTTCCGACTCGTTACTAATATTAAATGGTTTGGTG